GACAACATTTCAACGGCATAGGGATGTTTCGAAAATAACCATTTACTCCAATATCAAAACAGCTACGGTAAAAATAAAAAGACGTGCATCATCCCGGACATAATGCAACACCACATGCGAAATTACACAGAAATGTGACGTACGGAAGAATGCGTTTTGGCTGCGAACATCTTCCAAAAAACTTGGCATCTCTTAACCATGGGCAAAAACATCTGGAACCACTTATAAAAACCACCCCGTATCTGCATGAACTTTTACCCCCCCCACTGCTATTCCAAACAACGCGTTTTTCTGGACCATTCCAATTCGCCTCGTAATTGTAGGGGTGCGTCTGCGATATTACATTGACCGCGAAAGCAGCAACGGCAAAAATACACATTCGTGCATCAACACGGGCATGCCCGCAGACGGCGTATAAAATTGCGTGTCGATTACACAAAGAGAACCCAGTGTTTTGACTGCGAACATGAAAAATCAGCCGATTACAACACTCCGTCCGGAGGTCCTGACCTCCTTCACGGAGTAACAATGTCACACCATACATTATATATTAGAACCCGCGTAGAACTGTTAAAGTACATGGGAACATCAAATAAAAGGGATAGTGACAGTTCTACTCTTTATCATACACTTGGCTTGATTTACATACCAATGACACTAGCTTACTAGTCATATTGTCATGTTTCACCGGTTTTTCCAGTTGCTCATAGATTTAAGCCTTATATATTTCCACTCTCGCCAAGGTGATCGATTAAGGATTGGGTGGAAAAGACCTCGGCGAGCTAGTGTCGAGTGTCTGTTCCCTGTCATACATGCGACTCCCACCGTGAGTGTGGGGTGGGCGGGGGGGGGGGGATTTATTTTCGTCCCGCTCATTTCCGTCCAGCCTTCTCCTTTCTTGCGTCCTCTACCCTAAAGACAGTCTGTACTGTACTGAGCATTATGGTCGACTTGGGGTTATTCCCTACCCCAGCCTTTAATACTGGCCTTGACTAAACACACGCGACCTATACCCGAGGACCTATCTCTAGCTGTTGCTCTTTTTTCCTCTTCCTCGTCCACCCCTCTACTACTTAGTACCTCGACCTGGCGGCTCATCCTCGTACCTCCCGACGTAACGTTTCACCCGCCCGTGCTTGCGGCATCGATGGCCATTTGCCAGGCGTGGGCCTCCCATGACGCTGCCGGTCAAGAACTTGAATTTCCCCGCCTACCCTTAAAGAAACCATCAGTGTGTCTACATCATCTACCCTGACGCCCGGTACTCGCCGCGCCGAGTTCACGTCGCTCTAATTACCAGGCTACTCACGAGACGGGTTGTACGCTAACCCCGCTACCTTCTCTCTGTCACCCAGCTTCACAAAACTGATGAAGTATGAGGGGTTGGTCACATGGCCTGACATCTCGCTCAACAAGAGTCTCGCGAGATGTCAGTCCATTGTGACGTAAGTGGGAATAATTATATATTTCCACTCTCGCCAAGGTGATCGATTAAGGATTGGGTGGAAAAGACCTCGGCTACGCTACAGTGATCGGTTGCTTTAACCCCTGTCATAGGCTCATTCTCAAACCTCTTCCTCATTATCCCCCAATCCTTATCCTTCCCATTCCTTACCCTCTCCTCTCCCATTCCTTACTCTAAGTGTCACGTAAGGCAAAGACACTCAGTAGGCCAAGACACACCATGAGAGGGTAGTCTTCTTTTCTTTTATTCAATCTCGATTTAAAGTCTGTGGAACTCGCCCGCCTGGGGCACAAATACTGAGCCCCCGAACTGTAGTCACTGAGCCCTCACTCGCAACAAGCTTGCCAGCAGTTCTTGTACTACTGGCCGTGGTCCGTAAAGGAGCGGGGCCCGTTCCAGACCCATTTACCCACTGGATAGCCGACACCTTCTCTTCCCAGAGCCTCAGT